AACTTTAGTAGGTATTTTATCCATAATTTGATCTACAACTATTTTGGAAAACGCTTGAATACTGCTAATTTGTGTCAAATCTGGATGATATGCTATTTCAATATTTCCACCTGAAATAAAAACTGGATAACCAGAATCAAGTTGTTCAAATGTTTCTCCCAACTTAATTTTGTTATTTATATCCATATCAGCTCTAAAACGTTCTTGATACATCCATTCTAAATAATTAATCACAATTATCAATCTATAATTAGCAGTATCATAAACTACATTTTCACCTGTATTACTAGATATTTCACATGTTTTCTGTTTTTCTTTTAAAAATTTTTTACACATTACTATTTCATGTTCGTTAAAAACACATTCAGTTGAACAATTAATTTGTACACTATATTGTAATAATATATCATAAATATCTTTCAACTGATGATTTTTTATATCTCTAGGTTGTTTCAAAACATCTTCTATTGTTAAATTTTTTTTTTTTGCTGTTTCAAGATCACATACTCTAACAAGATAAAAATCAATCTTAAAAGGTGATATTAATTTTGTTAGAGTTATTTCATTTGAAAGTGTATAAGTTGAGGCTATAGTAGATGGATGATAAGAAACAAGTTTCAAATATAAAGAAAAATCTAATAAATTTAAAGATTTAAAACTTTTCTTTTGTTGTAATAAATTATATACATAAAATCTTTTATCAAGAGCAGTAAATTCATCAAAATCAAATTTATCAATTAAAGAACCGGATGGTCTAGATGTTCCACAGACATTATACATGATCCTACCGAACATATTCTTTTTTTTGTTGTCATATTATCTGATATTTACGTTCACGACCAATACAATTTGTTTTTGAAGTAACTTTAGTTATTGTTTTTTTAGATGATTTTTTTGTTTGAACTTTTTCTTTTCGATTCGATTTTGGTTTATTTGTTGATGGTTTTTTCTCTTTTGATTTAGAAATTTCTTTAGATTTCTTTCTTCTAGCCAATTTGATTAAATATTTTCGATTGTTTTTATTATTTCCTTTAAAATTTGACGAACCAATGTAATGATAGAATCGAAAAA